TTCACACAGGAAAGAGATTTAGAGGGATCCAGAGCGGTGCACAGCGTCCGAAGCTGCAGCAGCTGCAGGGGGATTGCTCGGATAAGGTTGAGGTGAGGTTGGAGCAGGGTCAGAGGATGAGAAGTGTCCGGTATATGGGCGCACAGGATTAGCTTCACACATGTGAGAGAAAGGTGGAATGCGGTGCAGAGCGGTGTTGAGAGATAGGACGATGTGCTGAGAAGCAGGGAGGCTCGCAAGCATGTGAGAGGTTCGAAGTGGTGCAAAGCGGTGCGTGAGGGGCTCAAAGCGGTGTTGTGATGAGATAGGGGCATTAGCAGAGTGGCAAAGGGACACGCAATGCAACCCCCCATCACCCATCCCCGTATTCCCATCATCCCTTACCTCCCACCACACCGACGTCCATGAGTTTGAAACGTCTCAAAACCACCCACACAGACATCCATCCATCCATCCAGCATCCATGACTGTTAGTTTGTGAATGAGATTGGATGACAGATTCTGATGACCCTTAAGTTTGACGCTGCACGCATCATCCTGCAACCGCTCACTCCGTTTTGCATGCACCCACGCCCATCTCACCCATCGTCCCTTTCCCCCAGGGTATTTTTGAGAATTCTCAAAAATACCCTGCAATTTTTTTAGAATTCTCAAAAACGCCCATGATGGGGGATGCGACCCTGAAGAGCATTGAGTTGGACGCTGCATGCATCATCCTGTGGCGACCCCCTTGGTCTCTCTCATCGCCCGCCTCACCCATCCATCACCCACTCCATCACCCACTCCATCACCCACTCCATCACCCACTCCATCACCCACTCCAGCACCCACTCCAGCACCCACCCAGCACCCACCCACCACCAGACGTCCATGATAGTAAATGAGATCCTCAAGAGCATCGAGCTTGTCGCTGCTCGCATCATCACCCTCCCCTCGGTCCCCCATCCATCACCCAATGATGGCCCCACGTTTTTTTGCATCTAACCCCATCATTCCCATCACCCCCATCACCCCCCTTCCTTTCACACTTCATCCCCCCGACCCCCCCATTGCCCCCACCACTCTTATTTCACCCTTATTTCACGATTCTTGCATCGATAGAAGTGGTTGACGCGGAGATCCTCAAGAACATTGAGTTTGACGATTCTTGCATCAGTTGTTAACCCCCTTATTTCACCCCCCGACCCCCCCCATTGCCCCCACCCCTCCCCCCCTCCCCCAGACGTCCATGATAGTGGATGAGATCCTCAAGAACGTTGAGTTTGACGCCGCTCGCATCATCTACAACCGCTTCAACTCCGTCGTCGCGTTCGTCCCTACCGTCTCCACCGTGCTCTCGCCTGAGGTGGGTGTGTTTGAGTTGTGGTGGAGTTTGCTGAGGTGTGGTGAGGTGTGGCGTGGTGTGGTGAGGAGGTGCTCTCGCCTGGGCTGCGTGGAGGCTCCTGGCCTGAGTGTTTTGCGCGCATCATCTACAACCGCTTCAACCCCGTTGTCATCTTTTTGAGTCGACTCAAAAATCACCTGAGTGTTTTGCGCGCATCATCTACAACCGCTTCAACCCCGTTGTCATCTTTTTGAGTCGACTCAAAAATCACCTGAGTGTTTTGCGCGCATCATCTACAACCGCTTCAACCCCGTTGTCATCTTTTTGAGTCGACTCAAAAATCACCTGAGTGTTTTGCGCGCATCATCTACAACCGCTTCAACCCCGTTGTCATCTTTTTGAGTCGACTCAAAAATCACCTGAGTGTTTTGCGCGCATCATCTACAACCGCTTCAACCCCGTTGTCATCTTTTTGAGTCGACTCAAAAATCACCTGAGTGTTTTCCACGCATCATCTACAACCGCTTCAACCCCGTTGTCACCTTTGTGCCCACCGTCTCCACCGTGCTCTCACCTGAGGTATGCTGAGGCGTTGTGAGGTGTAGTGAGGCGTGTTGAGGTGTGGTGAGGTGTGGTGAGGTGTGGAGAGGCGTGGTGAGGTGTGGTGAGGTGTGGTGAGGCTCCTGAACTGTGTGTCTCTAACTTCTTCAACTCTGTTGTCACGTTTGTCCCAATCGTCTCCATCACGCTCTTGCCTGAGGCATGCTGACGTTTGCTGAGATATGCTGACGTTTGCTGAGATATGCTGAGTCGTGCTGGGGTTTGTTGAGGTGAGCCGAGATCCAGTACAGTGCGTGGCTGTGGCCACTCACCCCCCTTTCCCGCCCCTCCATTCCCCCACCAGACGCTCCTCAAGGAGGCGGCGGAGGGCGGCAGCGCCAGCCAGCTGGCGGAGTACGAGATTGAGGGCGAGGAGGGCCAGGAGGAGCTCTTCCAGAACCTCTCGGAGTTCCAGCTGGCGTCGGTGAGTCTTTTTTTCTTTCTTGCTTTCTTTCTTGCTTTCTTTCTTGCTTTCTTTCTTTCTTTCTCTTTGAGAATGTTGTAGCATGATCTACGTACCATAGTACGCATTTGAGTAGGCCTCAACAACAGCCAGGGCCAGGAGGAGCTGTTTCAGAACCTGTCGGAGTTCCAGCTGGCGTCGGCGAGTGTGTGGTATATGCTACCCTACCTTTCCTGCCAGCTGTGCACCACCCTTCCTGCCAGCTGTGCACCACCTTTTCTGCCAGCAGTGCACCACCCTTCCTGCCAGCTTTTCCTAGATTCTGGTTCGCAGGGTTCGCAGAACTGGCACAGAACAGGTGCGCCTCACTCTCTCCGTACCTATCCCAGCTCTTGCGGAGTTGACGTGCGCCAAGTAGGGGAGGGGCGCGTGTGCCTGCCGTGCGCCATCCTCTCGCCGTAAAGAGTAGCTGTGCAGTGTGCAGTTGAAAATGTGTGCAGCGAGCAGGGCGTGCGCATGTCTTCCTCGGCCAACCCACTTCCTTCCGCATTCCTTCCCCCTTATTTCCACGGTCCCACCCCCACCGTGATTCTCCTATTTCCCTCAGGCACTCGACAACGCTCAGCTGGAGAATGCGTGGGGCAGGGGGGGTGCGCATATCCCCTATGGGCAATCTCCCTTGTCCCTCTCAATCCCCTTCCTTTATTGACTTGCAGACGCTCCGTTTTTGAGAGTTTTCACTAAACAACTCGAACCTTGTCCCTCTCACTCAATCCCCTCTTTTATTGACCTGCAGACGCTGTACAACGCGCAGCTGGAGAATGCGTGCAGCGAGCAGGGCGCGCGCATGTCCGCCATGGACAACTCCTCTCGCAACGCCTCCGACATGCTCGGCCGCCTCACTCTCTCCTACAACAGGTAAGGCGCACTTAGACATGGGCAAAAAAATTCGCATCGCATCGCATTTAATTGCGTTTTTGCGATTGCGGTTTTTTTTTTTTTTTAATCATCGCGCGATGCGATGAATTAGTTTCGCGCGATTTACTTTAAATCGCATTTTAATCGCGCTAATTTTTTAAAATCGTGCGCGATGTATCACTGAAACCCACTACAAAATCACACTAGTTATTTGCACTCTAGCTTACGACTGCCCGCGATTCAATTTCCCGGCAGCCATGAATTTTTCTGGTTTTTTGGGGTGTTTTTTAATTCTGTTTTAAAACCGCATCGCGCGATTTAGTTAAATTCCGCATGCGGTTTTAATATTCATCGCGCGCAAAACGCGATGTGCGATTTTTTTGTTCTCCAGAAATTAAATCGCGCGATGCGATTTAAAATTGCACCGCATTTAATTAAATCGCAATCGCATGCGGTATTTAACTGGTTTCCATGTCGCAATCGCATTTTGCCCATGTCTAGGCGCACTCTTGCGTACAACAGGTTCTCACAATGGATAATGTGTTGTAAGTTTTTTTGCTTCTTCAACAGGTATGTGACTCTGGCAAGACGCTAGGTTGGAAAAGCCGCCTCTTGTTTCCTGCCTCACCTGGCCACACTCCTGTTTAGCGTTTTTGCATTTAAGGTCGTGGAACATCGGCGTTCGAACAGTCACCACCCTGCACCGTACTGCACTTCACTGAAATACACAGTACCGTATTCAACCTGTTTTAAAAGTCCATTCGAACGGCCTGTTCGCAGCCGATGTTCCGCGCCATCTCCCTCCTCCTCCCGCCGCGCAACCTCCCCTTCTCCCTTGTGCAGGTCGCGCCAGGCCACCATCAGCACAGACTGTATGCATGTTTTGTCACGTGTGTTCTCGTGCTATCCCCCACCTCTTCCCTCCCCCCCTCCCCCCCCCCCTCCCTCCCTCCCTCCCCCTCTCTTGTGCAGGTCGCGCCAGGCCAGCATCACCACGGAGCTAGTCTTCCTCCTGTCTCTCTTACATCGCTTCTCCCCACCACCACCCCCTCCCCTTCTTGCTTCCTCCCCCCCCCCTTGCAGGTCGCGCCAGGCCACCATTACCACGGAGCTTATCGAAATCATTTCAGGCGCTGCTGCTCTGGAGGGCTAAGGCCATTGTAAGTCCGCCCCTAACGTTCGCCGACTTGCTTGCAATGTGAATTTTAGTCTGTCTTGGAAGTTGATTGGACTTCTAAACCACAGCACACATTTGGCCCGCTCGAATATAATGTCAACTGTGCGCCACCGTCTCCCATGCACTTCTCCCCAGGTGTTTAATGGTGCCAATTGTGGCTTTAACGTTGGTGCTTGTTGCTGCTGGAGATTGCAACTTGTAGCAGTTAGAAAACCCTTACTGTCTACTCTCAACCTGGCATAGTTGAACCCTTAGCTGAATCTGGTATTGCTGTGCTCGTGTCATCAATGGTAAATTTGGTTGTTAGTGTCCATCCATATGTTACACCTTATTAGCATATTGTAAAATTCCCACCATGATAAGCTGGTGTCTGCTTTGCAGCCATTCAGGATTGGATTCTCTAATCGGTATTATTTCTCAAATTGGAGGTCAGCTTGATATACCGCTTCAAGTAGTCACTAGCATCTGTTCCGCGCCACATTTCACAAATATCGAACTTGTCTATAGCGAGGTTTTCTAACCAACTTCTCGCTCACTTGTTGACCAGCAGTCGCCGTTAGTTTCCCATCGGCAATCCCGAGGCTGCTGCCTAAACCCGTAGCGCACCGTGCTGGCCTAGTTCCCCTACCTCCACCTATTCCGGAACACTTCTCGGTATTGCGGGTGCGTTACCATGGCAATGCGATACGCCCACAACCCGTGCTACCACTAGCGCAGCCACACTGATACCCGCCGCAATACCAGGCTTCCCGTTCTCCGCCGCGATGTGCGGCAATGGTTCGTGCTAACTTTCTCCGATACACCTAACCAGGAACGCCGGCCCGGTTCCAGCTTTCCGTATGCTCCGTTTTTCTGCCGGAAACTTCCATATTTCTGACGGAATAGGCTCTGAGAGCAGCGGGACCAGTCACCAGTGCCGCAAAACTTGAACTGACGCTGCTGGCGCCGTTGCTACTGGCGCCATTGCTGCCGGCGCCGTTGCTGCTGGCGCCGTTGCTGCTGGCGCCCTTTGCTGCTCCGCATGCCAAAATAGACTCATAATTCCCCATCGCGACCCCTGACACAGGCTCTCAGGCATCTCAGCCTCTCAGGCATCTCCGCCTGCGGACTTTTAACTATCAAGCGCCTAGATAGCAACTTAGACTGAGACGGTTCAAAGCCTTCACCGCTCGCCATGCGGCCGCCATGGCTGGGATCGTCCCCTCCCGCCAGCGCCGGCAGCCCGTTCAGCGCGTCCAGCAACCCCGGCGGCTTGATTCTCAGCGCCGGGAGACACGGCGGGATCGGCGCCGGGTTTGGCGGCGGGCTGTTTAACTCCCTGTGGTCGTACGCGCGGCCCTGGCGGTGGTGGCTCGCGATATTAATCATCTGCGCGTTTCAAGGGGCCTTATTATGGCACTGGTCGAACACCTCCGCTATAGTCTTCCCCGATCAGAAAAGCGCATCGGACGCCGCGATCGGCGGCGGGGGTAGCGGCAAAGGGGGGTCGCTGAACAGGCAGAGATTAGGCGACGCTGCCGCGGCCGCCGCCGCCGCTTCCGTGTTCAGGCGGCACCTAATCATAGGGTCGCAGCAGCAGGCGCAAGATGTCTCTAATCTCCGGTCCGGATCCTATACCTCGACCACCGCGTCGCTATCCGCGGCCGCCTTAGAAGAGCTAGTTCGCAAGGTGGCTGAGAACGTGTCGCAGCGCATCGAGTCGCACGAGGCGGTGTTAGTTAATCTGGGGATTAAGCTGCTCAACCGCGAGCAGCACCTGTCTAAGATCGACCAGGTTATAGCGGCGCTAGGGAAAATCCCCCCCGAAACCGTCCAAGCGGTGCTGCAAGCACAGCTAGACAGCAAAAAGCAGCAGGAAAGGGGAGGCGGAGGGGAAGGGGGAGCGGGAGGAGCAGGGGTAGGCGGAGGACAAGGGGAAGCGGTCAGGCGGAAGCAGGGGGCGCGGGGGCGGGTCAGGGGGAGGCGCGGAAGGGGAGGCGTGGGGGGAGCTTCCGGAGCCCATCCCCCCTCCGCCTAAGCCGTGCAAGCGGCAGAAGGACCTAGGGCGGTCGGGGGGAAGGTGGTCTGGCGGGTGGAGGAGGGGGGGAGGGCAGCCCCAGAAAGTACCTCCTGGCGATGTGCTCGGGCGGGCAGCTGAGCAACCGCATCTCGTGCCTAAGGCAGCACTTTCTGGACGCGGCGCTGCTGAATCGCACCTTGGTCTTTCCGTCGCACGGGCCTGGTGTGGACTATGACTATGAGCGGCTGCTGGATATGGAGGCGCCGAGGCGGTGCTTTGGCAACCAAACGTTTCTAACTCTGGACGAATATGCTGCAATACAAGAGGCCAAGGTGGGTGGATGTGGGAATGCGTGTTGGCTGCATGAGTGTTGCCCAGGGTGGACTATGACTAGCGGCTACTGGATATGGAGGCACCCAGGCGGTGCTTTGACAACCAAACGTTTCTAACTCTGGATGAATATGCTGCGATACAAGAGGCCAAGGTGGGTGGATGTGGGTGGGACTGTACTACAATGGTGAGCATATGAGCGTTGGCTGGCTGTCTGGGAGTTGAGCAGGAGTCCTCCGCTCCTGGACTCCTGCTCCAGGAGCGGACTATTTTTGTGGGTGCGAGCTGTGCGGGGTGGACGACGACTGTGAGCGGCTGCTGGATATGGAGGCGCCTAGGAGGTGCTTTGATTTTTGAGGCGCCTCAAAAAAGGCGCCTAGGAGGTGCTTTGACTAGAAGATTTTTGAGGCGATTTTTGAGGCGATTTTTGAGGCGATTTTTGAGGCGCCTCAGAAGAAGGGGTGTGAGAGGGCTGCTGCGCCTGTCTCTTGGGCTGCTGCGCCTGCCTCTTGGGCTGCTGCGCCTGCCTCTTGGGCTGCTGCGCCTGCCTCTTGGGCTGCTGCGCCTGCCTCTTGGGCTGCTGCGCCTGCCTCTTGGGCTGCTGCGCCTGCCTCTTGGGCTGCTGCGCCTGCCTCTTGGGCTGCTGCGCCTGCCTCTTGGGCTGCTGCGCCTGCCTCTTGGGCTGCTGCACCTGTAATACCGCTACGTGTGCAGCAGCAGATAGGTCGAGACTGCTGCGCGTGCCTCGTACGCAGGACGTAGCAGATGATTTGACGGCAAAGGGTGCAATGGGATGGCTGTGGGAGTTGAAGACCAGGAAGCCAGAGTGTCGAGGCCAGAAGGTCCTTCGGGTAAGACAGTGACGTGATTTGAGGCAGTGTTTCTGGTACTGCTGCTGCTTGCTTCTGTGGTTCTGAGACTTGTTTTCCCCTCCCTGCTTGCTTCTGTATTGTATGCCAGCACCGGAGGAGTCAGGCGGAGGAGTGAGTATCTGAGTATCTGAGTATCTGAGTATCTGAGTATCTGAGTATCTGAGTATCTGAGTATCTGAGTATCTGAGTATCTGAGTATCTGAGTATCTGAGTATCTGAGACTTGGAACGAGCAAGCCCTCTCCTCTCCCATTGCTGCGTGTAGCCGCACCCCCCACACGGAGGAAGCCTGCTGCACCAGTGATGGTGGTGGACGCGTTTGACTTTTGAGTCGACTCAAAAGTCATGTCGTGTAAACCCTCTCCCCTATTGTTGCCTGTGTGTGGCAGCACCCCACCTGGAGGAAGCACGCGCCAGTGATGGTGGTGGATGTGTTTGTCTCGAGGTGACTTGGAGTCAACTCGGAAGTTCAACTATTGGTCACTTGTAACATCCCCTTTCTCCCATTGTTGCCTCTATTGTTTGCAGCACCCCACGCGGAGGAAGCACGCGCCGGTGATGGTGGTGGATGTGTTTGTGTGCCACGTGCACCACTACCAGACTGAGAGGGAATGTGGGTATATCAGACAACGGTGAGTGAGACACACTTACAGACGCGCATACATGCACAGAGACACACGAGTGCATGGGCATGAGGGGGAGGGTCGTGGTCGTGGATGTGTTGTATGCCACGTGCACCACCACCAGACAGAGAGGGAGTGGGGGTACATCAGACAACGGTGAGAGATGCACACACACACACACACACACACACACACACACACACACACACACACACACACACACACACACACACACACACACACACACACACACACACACACACACACACACACACACACACACACACACACACACACACACACACACACACACCACACACACACACACACACACACACACACACACACACACACACACACACACACACACACACACACACACACACACACACACACACACACACACACACACACACACACACACACACACACACACACACACACACACACACACACACACACACACACACACACACACACACACACACACACCACACACACACACACACACACACACACACACACACACACACACACACACACACACACACACACACACACACACACACACACACACACACACACACACACACACACACACACACACACACACAAACGCACATGAGCATGGGCATAGGAGGGATGGTGGTGGGTTTTGAGTCGGCTCAAAAGTCATAACGCACATGAGCATGGGCATAGGAGGGATGGTGGTGGGTTTTGAGTCGGCTCAAAAGTCATAACGCACATGAGCATGGGCATAGGAGGGATGGTGGTGGGTGTGCTGATGCGCCACATGCACCATGGCGCTTCAGACCAAGAGTGTGGGTACATCAGGCAGCGGTGAGAGATGTGGCTGCAATGAGCCATGCGTGCCATGCGCATGGCTACAACGACTCTATGATCGCATTCAACAACACGTTAGGCGTCAGCTCCGCTTCCACCATGCACACGTGCACTCACTTACCATCTTCCCCCGCCCCTTTGATCCATCCCTCCACACATCCCCAGCTACCAGCAGCTACACATCCACTTCGCCGGCACGGTGATACCGGAAAGGCGCACCCCGAGCCCGTGGTTCAAGTACCCCAGCAAGGAATTCATCTCCCTCTTCACCTACGACGACTCCGTGATCGCATTCAGCAACATGTTTGGCGTCAGCGGGCAGGACCTGCGCTTCCACCATGCACGGCCGCCAGTGGTGCTGCCGGGGTGCAAGTACTACATCATGCCCTCGCCCATCCTCTCCTCCCCTTCCCCCCCTGACCTGACCCCTCATCCCCTTCCAGCTACCAGCAGTTGCACATTCAATTCGCCCGCACGGTGATCCCCGAGAAGCGCACCCCGAGCCCGTGGTTCAAGTACCCCTCCAAAGAGTTCATCTCTCTCTTCAGCTACGACGACTCTGTGATCGCTTTTGGCAACATGTTCGGCGTCAGCGGGCAGGACCTCCGCTTCCACCATGCGCGGCCACTAGTGGTGCTGCCGGGGTGCAAGTACTACATCATGCCCTCGCCCATGGTGCGCCAGGCAGCTGCCGGGTTCATCAACTCCTACCTTGGCAGCACCACCGGCATTGTCAGTGCAGGTGGTGATGCGGGTGCTGGAGTTGCTGGTGGTGCTGCTGCTGCAGCTGGCAGTGGTGCCAGTGGTGGTGCTGGTGGTGGTTTCATGGCATTGCACATGCGGAGAGGCGATTTCTACCAGCATTGCGTCAACATGAAGGGGCACTCCAAGTTCGCCTGTTACCACCCTATCCGCCAGCTGGCGGCGTGCGTGGCAAGGCGCCTGGATGAGAACCCTGGAGTGCGGGCGATCTACCTCTCCACCAATGGGGATGACGATGAGGTGGCGATGTTTCGGGAGTTTCTGGCATTTGAGCGCGCACGGCCGCGGAAATATGTCATAAATGGGACGACTGAGGACGGCCGTGTGGGGAGTGTGGTTCGTGTACGCGGGGGCCGGACAGGTTTTTTCTCCTCCGTGCCTGTCCCGGTGGTTCGGATGTCGACCAAGAGCTTGGAGACGCAGCCTTGGGCCGAGTCTCTGGTGCAGGCTGGAGCACATAATGATTCGGTGGTGATTTCTTATGTGGAGAAGGCGATATGTGTCATGTCGAATGTGTTTTTTGGCACGTACGGGTCTACCTTTACAGGGGATATTGTGCGGCTACGGGATTGGCTGTTTTTAAACAGCTGTAACGATGGGATGATGTGCCCAGAAACAGACCAGGCGGAGCTTATCACGCCTTTTGAGAGCTAGGTTCAAATGATTCTCTAATCTCATTACATAATGTTTGCAAGGGGTATATAGATGAGCTGAAGTTCATATTCTTCGGGAAGTTAATAGCTGCATATTCGAAGTGTACTCCATTTTCCTATTCCGTCGCACATCAGCGAAGCATCCCACCACAAATCTTCCCTCTTTTGAATCACACTCCACAGCTTCTTCTGCCACCTTGTGAATCGACCACGAGCTTTCTGGCCTCCTAGATTCTGCCGCGTTCATTTCGTCTCGGAATCCTCTTGACCATGGCTCCTTCCCAGAAATAGTCTCCAAGCTCGGACCAGATTGTTGGACTAGTGTGATCGCGTTCCGCGCAAAACAATTCGCCGCTCGCCTGTTTGATCGTGCTCGGCCGCGTAGCGTCTTGTCTGGTGAAAACGCTTCGACCTGCATTTTAGGTCGCGATCTTTCCTGGCTGGTTACCAGCTGCCGTGCCTGCTGCCTGGTTTCGGTAGCGTTGCTCTCGTCGTCGACGAATTCGCAGCCATGGTGATTCGCATACATCGAAGTCCGTGCGATCCCCGAGCGAACTGAACGTTTGTTACAGAACACGCTCTCGTCCTTCGCCAATCGTTGCGTTGTCTAGTACCTCCTCGTCGCATCGTCTTTCACGAAGCCGAGCGAACAAAATTCGTCTCGTTACCGCTGCCCCGCGTCGTAATCGAATCCCTATTTTCCGATAGCCGATCCTTCATGTTTTGATAAGCGGAAGACACTGACCGGAATTCAACCATGGACCTAGACGGAATGATCAGCGGAGGGGGAAGGGGGGCCGGGGGGAGGCGGTCGGGGGGGCTACGGCGGAAGAGGGGGCAGAGGCGGAGGCGGAAGGGGAAGAGGCGTGTGCAGATTCTGGCTGGAGGGTAACTGTAGAAAAGGTGACAATTGCGAATATTTACATACTGATTCCTCTGGGGGCGGGGGCGGGGGCGGGTTCGGCGGAGGTGGCGGGGGGTTCGGCGGTGGAGGGGGAAGAGGCAGAGGCGGAAACAGGGGCGGGGGAGGTGGCTGGGGAGGACAGGGATGGGGGGGAGGCGGAGGAGGGGGAGGCGGGGAGGAGACGGCGGGGGATTTGATGATCGGGGGGGAAGAGGGGTTTTGGGCAGGCGGAATGCAGACACTCAGGGGGATGGCGGAAGTTTTGGCGGGGAGCGGTGGGGGAGGCAAAGAGTAGGCGGAAGAAGCGGGGAGGGCGTCAGGGCGCGATTAGGTGACGGGGGAGGCGGGGGCGGAGGCGGGGGAGGCGGCGGGGAGAGGCGCATTCCGCGGCGGAAAGCTTGCAAGTTCTGGCTGGGGGGGAGCTGTAACCGCCACAACTGCAACTTCCTACATGCTCACACGACTGCTGCTGACGTGGAGATGATGACTGAGCTGACGGGGCACGAGAAGGTGCGAGAGAGCGATCCATTCTCCACTGGTCGTCATGTCTTTTCCTGAGGTATCCTATGCAGTAGCAATACTTCTGAGGCCTAAAAAAATCCATGCGTGAGGAGTCTATTTTTGAGGCGCCTCAAAAATAGACTCCTTTGCAGTAGCAATACCCGCTTCAAAGGGTCGTCCTCCACGGTTTTTACAAGCACTCCACGAGTTTACATTTACAGGTGTCATCACACAGTTGCTGCCACGTATTGACACAATGGCACCTATTTGGTGTTCTATTGGACTCGTTTCCACAGGTGCCCCTTGCACTAGCAATCCCCGCTTCAAAGGGTCGTCCTCTCGGAATCCACTCCGTGCAGTAGTTGTACCAGAGCGCATTTCACAGCTGCCCAAACGCATGTAGGAAAGGACATTTTCATGCTCCTTTGTTCTCTTCTCTGGTTTCTCCTTCACTCCCTCCTCTTGCTCACCTCCCCAGGTGGTGCGGACCAAAGGGCTCCTCTCAGCGCTGCACAGGCTGTCAAGGCAGCCAGCCAGCCATTTGCGGACCGTCTAGTCCCTGCTATTCGTGTGTAATGAGTCGATTTTTGAGTCGACTAAAAAGTCGACTCATTACACACGCATTTGCGGACCGTCTAGTCCCTGCTATTCGCCTTTCTTCCGTCGCCTGCCCTCTCTTCTCGTCTGCCATCTCCCTGCTATTCACCAGGTGGTGCGCGCCATAGCACTTCCCGAGAGCTCCTCGCAGCTGTACACGGGCAGTCAGGACGGCACTATCAGAGTGTGGGACTGCACCACGGGGCAGGTGGGGCTCTCTGTGCCTATGTAGCACGTGCTTTGTATGCTGTGCCTATATAGGGCGTGCCTTTATGCGTGCTCCGTGCCAGAGCTCCTCTCAGCTGTACACGGGCAGCCAGGACGGCACTACCAGAGTGTGGGACTGCACCACGGGGCAGGTACTTACTTTTACGGCTATCACACGTTTTGAGGCGTCTCAAACCTTTATCAAGTGTGCCTTTACTGAGAGCGCATTTACTGTTCCGCTGGACTGTGCCCCTTCAAATCTATTCTTACATTGTGCTCCTCACCCTCACTCTGATGTACTTTACATTCCCTCCGCCTTTTCTCCGATCCTCCGCCCCCCCTCACTCCCCAGCGTGTGTGTGGGTGTGGCCACTGTGAAAGGGTCTTTTGAGTCGACTCAAAAGTCACCTCCCCCTTTTCTCCCACCATCCGTCCCCCCTCACGCCTCAGTGCGTGTGTGGGTGTGGCCACTGTGGGAGAAGTCCTGGCCGCACTGGTTGTCGCACCTCTACAAACCGCTCTATCTTCTTGGGAGGGGACGTGGGAATGCGTATCACCAACTCTGGATGGCTCACTCTTTCCACACCACTGCACCGCTCTGTGTCTGTTCCTACCTCCTTCACGTCCCTCAACCCCCCCTCTCACCCTCCAGTGTGTGAGCGTTGCCGCCATGGGAGGGGATGTGGGAGCGCTGATCACCAACTCTGGATGGCTCTTTGTCGGCCTGCCCAACCTTGTCAAGGTATGCATGCAGCATGCTGTGCCATGCTTTTTCTTTTCTTTTGTACCATGCCATGCCATGCCATGCCATGTCGTGTCCTGCTAGTCTGTTCCAGGTTTGTTGGCAAGTGAATTAAAGAGCAGCTGGCTGTTTCTGAGTCAACTAAATGGGCCCTCCTAAACCCCAACCCCTGAACCCTTAACTGCTGCAGACGTGGGTGCTGGCGAGTGGAGTGCAGAGCGACTTGCCAGGGCCAACAGGATCCGTGCACCAGCTCCTGCTGCACAACGGCATGCTGTTTGCGGCCTGCAGTGTGAGTGGGGCATGACATCAGGTGGGTGGCATGGCATGGCATGGGGTATGGGCTGAACAGCATCCGTGCACATGCTGCTGCTGCACAATGGGATGCTCTTTGCGGCCTGCAGTGTAAGGGGTGGGAAGGGATGGGATGGGGTGGGAGGGGATAACATGGTAACGGATGGGATGGGATATGGGGTCAACAGGGTCGGTGCACCAGCTGCTGCTGCACAGTGGGATGCTGTTTGCTGCATGCAGCGTTAGGGATGGGATGGGACGGCAAGGCAACGGATGACATGAGGTGGCATGGTGTGGGATATGGGGCTGCACAATGGCATGCTGTTTGCGGCCTGCAGTGTAGGATGGGATGGGATGGGATGAGATGGGATGGGATGGGATTGATAAGAACGGAATGTGGATTGCACGGGTTGTCCATGTACTTTCTGCCACGTACTCTCATCTTATACCCCCAAACTCTCATCTTATACCCCCAAACTCTGATCTTATACCCCCAAAATCTGATCTTATACCCCCAAAATCTGATCTTATACCCCCAAAACCTGATCTTATACCCCCAAAATCTGATCTTATACCCCCAAAATCTGATCTTATACCCCCAAAATCTGATCTTATACCCCCAAAATCTGATCTTATACCCCAAAATCTGATCTTATACCCCCAAAATCTGATCTTATACCCCCAAAATCTGATCTTATACCCCCAAAATCTGATCTTATACCCCCAAAATCTGATCTTATACCCCCAAAATCTGATCTTATACCCCCAAAATCTGATCTTATACCCCCAAAACTGATCTTAACCCAAAATCTGATCTTGTACCCCCAAAATCTGATCTTATACCCCAAACTCTGATCTTATACCCCCAAACTCTGATCTTATACCCCCAAACTCTGATCTTATACCCCCAAAATCTGATCTTATACCCCCAAAATCTGATCTTATACCCCCAAAATCTGATCTTGTACCCCCAAAATCTGATCTTATACCCCCAAAATCTGATCTTATACCCCCGAAATCTGATCTTATACCCCCAAAATCTGATCTTATACCCCCAAAATCTGATCGTATACCCCCAAAACTGATCTTATACCCCCAAAATCTGATCTTATACCCCCAAAATCTGATCTTATACCCCCAAAATCTGATCTTATACCCCAAAATCTGATCTTGTACCCCCAAAATCTGATCTTATACCCCCAAACTCTGATCTTATACCCCCAAACTCTGATCTTATACCCCCAAAATCTGATCTTATACCCCCAAAATCTGATCTTATACCCCCAATATCTGATCTTATACCCCCAAAATCTGATCTTATACCCCCAAAATCTGATCTTATACCCCCAATATCTGATCTTATACCCCCAAAATCTGATCTTATACCCCAAAATCTGATCTTATACCCCCAATTTTTCCCCCTTGTACTTACCCTGGTTCTGTCTACCTCAAACCCAACCCCTCCCCCCTCCTCCCCCCCCCCCCATCCTTTTACATCCCCCCTCCCTCCCTTCCCCCTTTCCCCTCCCTCCCGTCCCCTTTCCCCTCACGTGCGTCAGGACGGCAAGATTCTGTGCTGGAAGTTCAACCCGGCCTCGCAGCAGTTTGAGCCCGTGGCGTCGCTGACAGGTCACACGGCTGCTGTGGTGTGCCTTGAGGCCACGGCCACGCACCTCTTCTCAGGATCCATGGATAAGAGCATCAGAGTGAGTGTGCTATTGCTATAGATAATGAGGGATACACTAACTGGGCGCACGTCTGCTGTTGTGTGCTTGGAAGCCACGGCTGCTGTTGTGTGCTTGGAAGCCACGGCTGCTGTTGTGTGCTTGGAAGCCATGGCCACGCACCTGTTCTTAGGGTCCATGGACAAGAGCATCAGAGTGAGTGGTGGTAGTACTAGCGAGACATACACTAATGGGTCTGGTTCTTCTCTCTACCGGGTCACGCCATGACCATGGCATGGGGTGATGCGTCTGGTAGCATGGCACCCACAGTCTCCCTTTTTCCTTGGCACTTCTCCTCCTTCCCTCCCCTTCGTTGTTGCACAACAGATATGGGAATGGGACCTGAGCACGGGAGCATGTGTGCACACAGTGCCTGCTCATAACCATAGTGACGCATACGACAAATCCCCCCTCTCCTCCCCTCCTCTACCGCACACCAGATATGGGAGCTGAGCACAGGTGCGTGTGTGCACAGCACACGGTGCCGACTCTGACCAGGGGTTGATGTCGCTGGCTGCTTGGCGCCCACAGTTTTCCGTTTTCCCTCTGCACTTCCCCCCCTCCCCTTCCTTGTTGCGCACCAGATATGGGACCTGAGCACGGGAGCATGTGTGCACACGGTGCTTGCTCACGACCACGTGGTGATGGCGCTGGTGGCATGGCACACTCATCTCCTCTCCTGCTCGCTTGACGGCACAGTTAAGGTAAGCTGGGGGGGAATGGGCGGGGAAAGGGAGGGGGGGGGTAAGCAGGGGGGGTACGGGGGGGGGGGGGATTATGACACACGGACCATGTGGTGATGTTGCTGGTTGTATGGCGCAAACACATCTCCCCTCCTGCTAGCTTAATCGGACAATTAAGGTGAAGTCTGAAGACAGGTCGGGGTTTAAGAGGTGCCACCATCTTGCATTGTCTCGCACTGACAGCCGTGGCCACCTTGAATCAACAGCGGCGAGATTACAACGGTTCATGCCATGTCGATTCAGGAAGACAGGCAGGCAGCGCCCTTCTGCTCTCTTCTTTCTTCTGATTCAAGCAGGCGTGGCTGGCACAGTGGCAGGCACCCATGAGCAGCAATGACAGGCAGTGAGAACAGGTGCATTTTCTCTTCTTTTCTGCATGTTTGCGTTCGTTCCTTTAGCCCCAACAGGTGTGGGCGCCATCAGCAGCGGCAGGGGGCGCTATAGACCTCGCATTTACCCACACCAACAGTGACGCCGTCATGCCATCAGGTGTGGGCGCCATCAGGCGTGGGCGCCATCAGGTGTGGGCGCCATCAGGTGTGGGCGCCGTCATGCCACAACTGTAGAACGCAAATACACCCCTTCTGTCTCTTCTCCCTTCCCTTCTCAACAGGTGTGGGCGCCATCAGCCGCGGGAGGGGGGCGCTATCGACCTCGCTTTCACTCACACAGATGCGGACGACAAAGGGGGGAGCGGGCCAGAGCGACAGAGAACCTGATGTACGTTGGTCCTCGTCACTCGACCTTATTTTGTTGATAACCTTTTTTTTGTTGATAACCTCATTTTGTTGATGTCTGTTGGTGCACTGCCTTTGTCCCTTTGTTTTCTGTTATTTTTGTGTTAATCTAGTGTAGTCACCGCCTTGGAGTATTGAGACGTCTCAAAACTAGTGACCGCCTTTGTTTTCTCCACCCTTACCCCTCAACTTTTTGCTGCTGCTGATGAGAGTATTCGTTTAGATAGTCGTGGTAAATGTCGTGTAATCCTTGCGTTGCGTTCTCTTCTGTTGTCTCTGTGCATGCATTATTAGCATGCATTATTAGATGCATATCAACTTCTCTTCTCCATGCACCCAACAGGGTGCCTTGGCCATGCGAGTGAGCACGGATCTAGCCGGCAACCAGGTGCTCATGGTGTCATACAAAATATTTTTGAGTCGGCTCAAAAATCACCTCATGGTGTCATACAAAATATTTCTCCCCCCCCTCTCCCCCTTTCCTCCCTCCTGCCCTTCCCTTCCTCCTCCCTATTCTCCAGGGAGCCCTGGCCATGCGGGGTGAGCACGGACCTAGCGGGCAATCAGGTGCTCATGGTGGCGTACAGTGACAACTCTGTGCGACTCTACGACCTTCCATCGTACGTTTCGGGTAATTAGGTGATGCGAGTGCATGCAGTTAATGGGGCTGCACGCCCTCCCACCGTAAGGTTGACTGTAGTGGGGCGAAACGGGTGCTCATGGCGGCGTACAGTGACAACTCCCTGCGGCTCTACGACCTCCCTCGTACGTTCGAGGTAATATGGCAATGCGAGTGCATGCAGTCTGTGAGATCTGTGAGGTCTGTGAGATCTATGAGATCGACCTCCTGTCGTAAGTTCTCGTGGTAATGATACTGGTAATGCTTATATTTCATATGGTATGCTGAAAAAAAAAAAACCATCCTATCCGTTACGTTGCTGAACAGTTTCTTCTCTTGCCATGTCATACCCCTTCTCTCCCGTGCCATGTCACCACCAACCAGGTTCACGGAGCGAGGGGCACTGTTCACCGTGCAGGAAGTGCGGTCGCTGTGTGTGGGGCCGAGCGGGCTCATGTTTACTGGAGACAGTGCAGGGACCGTCAAGGTGTGGCGATGGACGCAGTGAGAGCTTTAAGGGGAGGAAGGGATGGGTAAAGAGTACAGGGGGCGTTGAGGTGCGGCTGCTGTGTGTGTGGGGGCCTGAGTGGGCCCATGTTGACCAGAGGCAGCACAGGGAAGGTCAAGGTGTGGTGGTGGACACAGTGAAGGAGGTTCATCAGTTGCTGGGGGGGGAGGGAGGGGGGAAGAAACTATCAAGGTGCGGTCGCTGCGCGTGGGGTCCAGTGGGCTCATGTTTACTGGGGCAGCGGAGGGATGGTCAAGGCGTGGTGCTGGATGCAGTGACAGGCAGGAGAGTTTCAAGATATTTCACTCGGTGCAGTGCGGCCCAAAAGCAGCAATGATGCAGTTGTTGTTACCGTGAGGGGACCAGCCAAGGCTCATGTAGGGCAACGTGTTTATTGTAGGCTCGGAATGGAAGCATTGGTAGCGTTTGACTTGTTTAGGGTTTGGACTACGGATGTAGCAAGTCTCATAAGCCTGTTTAGGGTGCTATTAGATAGAGGCAAGGCAGATCCAAACTGCTTGAATCAATGGCAGCCTAGGATGGATAAGGGGGATCTAGGAGAGCTCAGGGGAATAGTGGAGGTAAGAAAGTGTGCATCCAACTTATGGGGCTTGGGATTAGATGACATGCCATTACAAAACATGTAGGTACTTGTAATAAAAAATTTACAGATTGTTATTCGACTAGAAGAGGAGTTTGCTGTAAAGGAGACAAACTCCATCTATCGGCAGGTCTTTCAGACCTGCCACCTAGTCTCATTTGCATATTTCTGTTCCAACTTGTATACCACAAGCACACTCTAAACCTCTCTTACGGTATGATATGGGCATAGGAGTCTCTTGCTGCAAGACGTTCTTTCTGTTAGATATTCTACAATGGTCAGCGG